TTTTTTTACATTAATTACAACTTACAATTAATTATAAAATAAGAAGACTTAAAAAGTAATTAATGTAATATTGTAAAAAATCTATTCAATAGAGAGAAGAGTTTCTGAATTAAATGCAATTAGTAAAATATTTTCTAGCAAGAAATAATAGAAGCAAATTCAAATCATCTTACAATTTCGTTTCCATATATTTTTTCCAAAGAATTTTGTTTTTCTACACTATTTTCATAATAGACCAATTTTTTTACGTTTAATTATTACATAGAGTTTTCCTCTCAAAAATTGAGACGGATTTAATTATGGCCATCTGTTTTTTATGTACATTTGGTACGATAAGTATCTTAAGTATCTAAATTTATGGATACATCAGCTCGTTGTTATATTGGACACTTTCCAAAGAGAACAAAAAAGTTAAAATAATCTCAATTGATATCATATTGACTGATTATTGACCGAAATTATCATACTTTCATGATTAACTAATATGACTTTCTTGTTGTCCTTGGATTGTATTTAAATATGGCTATTACACGATGAGTATTTGCATCCGAGCATTTGGATACTATGCAACATCGTATAAAATCCGTTATAAATTACTACTGTCTTCTTTTGGCACAAAGTTTGACAATAACACGCGTCACGAACATTGAAAATACAATAATCCCGAAGTTACACTTCATTAACATCTGTGTTAAATGTTCCACAATAACCTTTGATGTTCTCAAAAAGTCATGATTTCAGGACTATGCACTAAATAGTCATCATTAATTTTAATAGTGATATCTAAGTATACGTGCCATGTTCATATTCCGAAGTATTCTTAATAGCGCTTGTTTCTTTGCACTGTTAGTGTTTGTTATCTAATGGTATTTTATCTCAAATCGGCTGTGCGTTTTTATTTCTAACAGATCAACGTTTTTAGTGAATCTCGCAATGGAGTTTAGGTACTTTGAATTCGAGAGATTAGATTTCTCTGTCGACAATAGCTTAATAATGTCGTTTACGCTTTACAGAATAATATTAGATATAATACTATATGAAGTTTAATCCTGCTAATACTGCAAAATCTTGATTTAGGAGCAATTCACTCATATCCAAATCCTTTTACAGATAACAACTGTACATGCCTAATAAAATTGTTAATTGTATTTGAAGAGTAAATAACGTTTTAAAATTGCATTATTCCATTAGACATACTTACAGTGTAGAAGTATGAAAAATAATTGCTTTCAGTACTTTTTGGTACTCAAAGGATCACAGATTGCATCGATTAACTGGTAAATAAATAATTCGACAAACAAAAGTAAAGAAACCGATAAGGAACTGGAGACGGAAGTGATTTTTAATTGAGAGGATGACGTTTCAGTTTTGCTCGTAGCCACAATTTGCGTAGAGATGGATTCTTTGGTGGTCCCGCAGATGGTGACGATGCTTGAATCGCTTCTTGCAATTTCCGCACTGAAATCTGGGCCCGACGCCGCACTCAAGGCGCAAATGCCTCGTCAAGTTACACTTGTGCGAGTAAGTGCGGCCGCATTTCGGACAAAGAAATGGTGGTCCGTCCTCCGCGTCCTTCAATCTCTTCCAAACTGTAACATTCGTCGGAAAGGATGCAATAAGATATATACGTAATCTCTTCCCCCTTCTCTCTCTCTCTCTCTCTTTCTCTTTCTCTCTCTCTCTCTCTCGATCGCTCGCTCTCGCGAGTCAACGTATGCAAACTAGAAAAGCATTAGGCGGCTAAATAACGCAACAAAAACACCGAATGTGCGCATAGCGAATCATGCCGCAAGTCAGGGCGATTATCACACACAGATTTTTCTTTCTGACAAATAAATCTCATTCCGTTTGCGTACGTACGCTTGGTTCTGCGTCGCGACGTCTGTTTTTTTTTCTCTAAATTATATACATTTTCAAAGTCCTTTATGAACGTTATTTATTTATTATTGCTATTGATCCTTTTGTGTGATAATCTGTATTATGCTACGTATTGCATGGCATTTTTACAACAAAAATGTATCTCTAAAATAAATATGTTTGATATCATATCTACATCGGGGATAGACAGACGATTATCAGAGTCCTCGAATAAGTATATCTTTTTATTTGTTATATCTTACAAATTTTGTTGACTATAATATTTCATGCTTATTTTAAACAGTTTTATTTTCAGCATTTATTAAGAACGAAATTCTGTATCTGTTTGTTACATTTTAACATTTGATCGATAAATATAAAAATATCCCGTTCTTATACATATATGTATTTTATATATATATATACGTATTTTAAATATTTTTTTCATATTACAATCGCAAATTTTGTCCATCTCCGATTTAAGATATGATTATTACTTTGAATACAGATATTATTGCTGCATGCATTAATTTTTAATTATCTATGTTCTCATTTATATAATACGCATAATAATAATAATAATATTAAAAGACTATTATAATAATCACATAATTGATAGTATCGATTGTGAACTATCATAACTACTCCAAAAATGTTTTGCAAAAGAATCACGCATTAGCGGTTAATTCGTAAAAAAATTCGAAGATTGACATTCATATATATAAATTATCGAATAATAATAAAATGTAGCAGAAAGGGAAGTTAGTGTGCAGGGTCATATCTAAATATTAACCAAATTCTGGATCAAAATATGCGTGTTTATTTTTGCTGCAGTTACATAATGTATGCAAAGATATGTATATTCGCGTGTATACATAAATTTTAAGTCTCTATACGCATATATCTGACAAAGAGAGCTCATTACATGCATCGCATGTCATAGACTCTCTCCTATGTATAGACTATTACATATGTATATATACATATATGTATATATAATATATATTATTATTTATATATTATGTATAATATTATTATATATACATACAATACATACATACACATATATACATATTTATATGTGTTCAGACTATTCGTTCCGTTGGCACTCACTGCTATTTACTCTCTTACGTTCTAAAAATATAGGCATGTTCTTATCACTATCTGTTGTCACATTCAATGTGCACTGAAATACACAGCATACATTTTTCTAACCGTTTTCAAACAGTTTTTCATTCGTATACATTACGTACGTTATAGCTGCATTAGCATTTTGCACGTTCGACAATCACAGTTATTTCTGATTATAAATAATGACTTTAATTCTTTCAAGTAAATTCTTTTCATTATCGGCAAATAGACCAGAAATACATGAGCAATTATACAAGACGTCTCAAAGAAATGCATTCGTATTTTATTTGTAAAATTAATAAAAAATTTAGTAAATTTAGTAAAATAAATTCTCGTTTGACATATTTCCTATAGACATCCTGTACACAACAGATTTAGTCCTCAACATAGGTATGATAGACTTAATACTACGTTTAATGGCAGAAATACAGTTTAAGGTTAAACATTACTCATAATCAGTCTGCCATTATTGGACAATAAAAATTGTTTGAACAGAAAATCATTATGGCAGTGGATCAGTCTATAAACATTAACATAAAATTTGCTCTGAGACTGCTATTAACAAACATAGAACTTATATAAATTTGATTACAAAAATTAATCGATTTGTTTACATAAATCTCATGTAGAGTAATTTATAAAATATAATAATTTATAAAATATTTAACAATGTACATATATAATACATATATTATATATATGTCTATAAAATTTAAAAACTAAAATTTTAACACGTTATATACATAAAAATTACTGGCTTCAACAATACCAATAGTCTTACTGGTATTGAATCTTACATTTATGGAATAATTTGTTAATTATATTATAGTAATTTAATTAGATATTATAATTATTACATTCGTAAAATCGCAACTAATTAGAACAACTAAAAAGGCATCTCGTTTACTAGTGGTAACTTTGTTATTGTTTTGCAAAATATAGGTTAAATTAAACAGTTTTATTTTAACCCACTAAGGACCGCTGGTTGATTTTTCGACCAAAAAAAAAATAGGTTTACTTTTTATATCTCTTTGGACCAATGGTCGCAAAATCGATTCCTCCCCTCCCCAGCCTAAATGACCAATCCCAGGGTGAAAATTTGTGGCAAGTAGACTCCTTAAGAGCATAGCTTGCCATTAAAAGGATTTTAAATTTTGAGAAAAAAAACTTGTCATAGTCCTTAATGGGTTAATAAGAGTTTCTTGCAAGTTGACAGTTGAGATTAAAATTATTTAAACTGATATGTTAATGTTCCTTTTGATACATCAGGTATCTTGTGTGATGTGTGTGATTTCTATCTAATGTCTTATTCCTATTTTATTCTTTGGGAGACTTCATAATTACGTACCAAAATTGTTCCATCAGTTGTTCGCTCGTTCGTGTGACATCACTTAGCAATTTTGCTATATACGTCAAATATATTCTTAGTTCAAAGCTGCTTGTATGATAAAATATTTAATATTATATTTAGATCATATAATTTTTTCCTCAATTAATAAATAAATAATTCAATAAATGAAAATCTACTAACAATGCTTAACTGTGCCGTTTTCTTTGTATCGACACAAATCAGCTAAAAATATCAGTTATATCTGTGAATTATTAGTTAACTCTACATTTGTTTATATTTAGTATTTGGATTTTCTGAATGTTTATTGTCTACGATTAATCACAAAATGATGTTCACGTATAACAAAAACGAGCAGAGCGCTACAATACTTCTTTTCCTAAAAATCTAAAGAAATTAACAAAATTAGAATTAACGTTAAATTTAGAAAATGTTCATTTGAAACAAATACTTTTGTGAATTATTCAATAAAAAAGAATTAGAATTTGAAAGTTCCAAAAACTTCAACTTTTTAATGTAACTTGCACATTTTTAATTCAATTAAAATTACGAAATGCGCGTTAAATTCAATTTGAATTACGAAATGCGCGTGAAAGACTTTCAAAGATTATTAAAACTTTCAGAGTGCATTCTCCTTACATAACATTCAATGGCACCAAATGGTCTAAGATTTTTTATGAGTTCTCATATGTAACAACAAATTATGCTTATGTTTGGACTTCTTGTGACAGATAGGACATTCGAATTGTGGCTCCACACCGCATTCAAATTTCATATGTCTATTTAACGAGTGCGGTCTCGTGTAGGCATTACCGCAACGTTGACAATAGTAATAGGAATCGCGATTACTCGCGGTTACCTGGTTGCTGCTGACTTCTGTCAATGGTTGGCCATTTTGAATTTTCTTAGTGGCGATATTATCGGGACAAACACTTGTTTGATTTTCGGTTGTTGTTGTTCCCGTTGTTGTCTCTTTCGTCAACTGGTTTTCCGCCATCAGACGTAGATACATTGTTTGATACTGATAGTACCATTCGATGGCGTCACCTGGCGAGTGCTTGCGTTCTAGAAAACACACAAGAGAATCAGTAAAACTTTATCAGAATTATTGCGTCCTTTTGCCATAGGGATTGGCGATCACACTTTAGTCTAGAAGGATTTATTTATTACGGGATTACGACAAAGACACGGACATACACAGCATAAGTTGAGTTACACGTAGCCATTCACCATAAAAGCGACTGTAAACAAGGCATCCTTGATCGGGTTTTTCATAGGATTATAGGATTTCTTTTTTGTAAGAGGAGGGAGAAAACTTCTTCTCATTATCCTGAACCGTGTTTTCGATATATTTAATATATGTAGGCAAAATTACATTTTGTTTGCGTTAAAAATATATTTAGTCTGTTGCATTATTTGCACTAAAAATGCTAATGGAAACTATAGTTCATTGCATTTGGTCGGGTCTATAGGACATGTAATTAAAAAAATATAATTAACTTAAATATAATCGTTTAGTTCTATTTATAGAATATTTATAGCGAGATCAATATAAATAAAGTTAATGAATATTATATATATATATGATATTGTGACGATATAGTGACTAATTAAAATAATTAATAAATAAGTTAAATTATGACAATATAAAACTTGGAGAATATAATAAAGTTTCAGTTGTCGCTAAAAAACAATACTATAAAAAGCAGAAGAATATTTCTTTAAAAGTAATATGTACATAGTATATGGTACGTAGTATGTTTTTCTATATATTTTTATTTTTTGTTAATTATTCAGACCAACTTTTAATATATAATAATTTATTTTTTTACATATATTGAATGACATAAAAACACAAAATAATTCATTATTTCGCAAAGATTTTTCGAAAATTAAACCTTATATTATTTATTATATATAAAAGAACAAAGAGACAAATTTTAAATTTTAATAATGACTAAGATACAATATTATAAAATGTAACAAATTCAATACAGAAATAATTTATGATTATTCACGTACTTGATCTTCTATTTCTGCAACATATAGAAAGATGAAAAATCATTTGTTCTCATAATTTGTTCTCATTAATAAATAAATAATTTCTAATATTTTTATTTATTATTATCTAACTTATAAATAAGAAATCTTCTCGGAGCGAGTGTTATTTTTTAAAAAAAATTTATCTCTATATTGCTGATAAATTTTGATCACAAATATTTTGAGCTTCGAGACGCAGTCACAAAGCTTAAAGGCCGGCAGAAATGACGAGAAAACACATTATTTGCAGTGCAAATACATATTTGTACTGTACCATGTATTGTCTTATAGAAAAAATATTTTGCCATGAAACTTCTTTTGGTTTATCCTTGGTAGAAAAAAATAGCCGAAATTATTGAAATCGACAATAAAATCGTTGAAATGAGAAATAAAAATCACAGAAATATTATTGAAAATATTTCAGCATAAATAATACTTTTAATATTGAAATACTATAAATTTCAATGATAATTAATAAAAATTAATAAAGAGAAACACAAAATAATGTACATATATTTAATATATGTATATACTAATATATTTAATATATGTATATACTAATTTATTTAGAGATATTGAACACTGAATTATACGGAAATGAAATCCTAAAGATAATTATTGAAAATGCATGAAAAAATAAAAAGTCATGCAAAACATATAATATTTTTATAGTTTATTGTACACTGAAATATGCTGATATACTATAAAATTAATGAAAATATCTAAAAATTAATGAAATGAGAACGAAATATATATTTTTACAAATTTATTAATGAAAATTACCGAAAATAAAAACAGAATAATTAAAACGTTGGAATTAATAGTTGAAAGAATGAAATTTGCTGAAAAGTAATGAAATCAGTTAATATTGTAATGAAAAGCATTGAATTGAGCTTTCTATATAACTGAAGATCAAATTATCTGCACAGATTAAATTTATATTTATACATGGTTTTCGCATGTACTTTGGTAAGTATGTGTAAAACCATGTACACATGCATTGTATTTTGGCACTAACGCGAAGCTAAATATAACAATATTTTGTATTAAATTTATTATTATTTATAAAATATTAACAAATTTTAATGAAATTTTAATAAAACAGTACTAAAAATGGATCAATTGATATAAATTTTAATATGAAATTCAGTAATATTTCATCATTACAATTCAAGAAAAAATTTCAATCAGGAATGTTTTACGAAGTTATGAAACCTACTATTAAACAGTCAAATTTTGCAATTTTACTCTTAAAAATATTATAATAAACAAAATAATCTGCTTCTTATTCACGTTGCAAATATAATCACGGAAAACTGTATAATATTTTGTTTTGTAGAAACATTTCGCCATGAAACTTTTTTTTAGATTATGTTTTATGAAACTGCGAAGCCTCCTAAAAAGCCCAATTTTGCTATTTGAACATTAAAAATATTATAATGAATAAAATTATCTGCATTTTAGTTACACTTTACTCAAACAGAACAACAAGTCACGATAAAATGACGGTAAAATGACGTTAAAATGATGTCAAAATAATTTCTAAAGATCATTTTGATATTACAATAATTTATTCTGCTCGGGTAATGTAGATTGAGTAAGATAACAGAACGAATTTCTATTTTGTGCTTTTAAAAAAAAATCGCTTTTTAACATGCAGATATTGTTCAATTACGAATATCACAATTATATTAGGATTTTCTTACTATTTTAGCGTAATAAGAGAAATTCGTTTTCAACAGAGATCTTCATCGCGACTCCTGTCGGCCTTTAAATCAGGTCACGTTCTTTTATTCCGCGAATTTTCGAAAGGGAAAACTTTCACAAGAAAAAATCACCCGCAGTGATGCGCGGTGATATGATTCCGTAATTCATATCGATACTTGAACTTTCGGTCACACACGTGACAGCAGAACCTTTTCTCTTTATTGCCGCAATCCACCCTTTGATGCCTCTTCAGACTGTCTAACCATTTATATTTCTTGCCGCAATCGGTACAAACGTAGTGGGTCTGTATCGTCTGTATCATCGGCATGTAGGAGTCTCCGCTATACATCTGAACTGGATAATCGCCACCACATCCTAAGGTATCGTGTACTTTCGACGACGAGTACGGAAGGGAATCCTGGCTTTCTTGACCAATGCTGCGCGCCTTCCGTTCCAACATCCATAGAGCGTCGTACTCCTCCGGTTGATCCGCACCTGCGATAAGAAAGCAGAGCGTCGGTGATTAGGTGAATTGCGTCCGAATTGCGTAAAACAAGGTCGAAGTTACGAAGAGAGACTCGCGTTGCGTTACAGCTATTCGGTTTGAGATCGAAGCTAAGTACGAATGAACGACATGCAACAATATCATAAAGGCTTATCGAGGCTGATAAGAGCGATTCCACGAGACGCGTCAACAATTTATTCTGTAACATGGGATTCAAAATTATGAAACGAATTCCTATATTAATTTTCTATGTGTGCATAAAGAGGAATATTTTTAGGATTAGAAATTATATAAATAATACTTTTGGTTTATCGAATCGATAATATTTCATTTCATAATCGAATTTCTGTAATCATTATTTCACGCTTGAGATCGGAGCACACAGAAAAAGCGACATCATTTCCGACATTTAAATAATCATCATTTATTTATTACATAATTATTATTGTCGCAATTATTCCAAAAGAAACTAAATTCTACGATCGTTTTTTTTTCATGTGTCTGTGTCTGTGGTTTTTAATATTTTTGTAAAAAAAACTTAACTAATTGTGCATAAAAGTGTAAGCAGAATACAATACATCTGTATGTGTAACTTACATTCATATATGTAACTTACATATTTTCATCTTACGTTGTGCGACTAAGAAATTTATAATCACTGTTTAAAAAAAAAGATTTTACTTGTTGATAATATTTAATATAATAAGATATACATACAATATAATCTATGTGTAATAAATTAAATTCTAATAATTCTTATTAATTTACATTGCAGTGACTACTAAAG